ATTGAGTTATAGGTGTTAAAACAGGTATAGTTGGCCAATTCAATTACTTTCTATTCAGCCAATTCCGCATTGAGCTAATTTGCTGGTTATGGACTGTTTTTACTTCCCATTGTTGTCCAGTTAGGCAAAGCTTTGTACACAGGAGCCTTTTTCCCTCTTAAGTCACTGCCAATTTGTCTGCCATTTTCCCAAGAGTACGAAGTTCTTCGTGTACCATAAGTTGGCTCTCTCTAAAGAGACGAAAACTCAGAAAGAATGTTTTTGGGCACGTATAATGTTATATATATTAACAAACTAAACTTAACGAAGACGCAATTTTGCAAAAAAAAATTAGTTTGCAAAAAAAAACAGTTTCGGTGAAAGTCGGAATAGAATCTCGTTTACTTTGTGTAAGTGGAAAACTTTCGGCTAATAGGGTCTCACTTTTTGATAGGGTCTCACGAGTATTGAGCATTTAATTGTAGGTTGGGTGATAAGGATAAGATTGCTTGTTAATGCGATCCCTTTTGACACTTTAGCACAAAAAGCTCAAGTAAAATATTGATAAACTATTAGGAAAGTTCTTGTAAAAGCTTTTAAACATTTTGTTCAACTGCAGTCTGACTCGAATGGTCGATTAATCAATCCGGAGTTGAAGTAAAGTTGGCTTGTTTATCTCCAAAAGTGCATTCGAGTCTGGAAAGATAATAAAAAATCTTTAAAAATCTATTCTGTCTTTTTATTCTGTCTCATTCTTCTAAATTGGCAAAGTATCTCTGGACTTAATAGAAGTTCGTATCTCGTCCTGTCTTGTCTGTAATTTACCTGTAAATGCCCCAGTGAAGATAAGCAACTTTGTCTTTGTCTTGTTTTCCCAGTTGTGTATGATGCGGATCCATCGACCGAATTAAATGGACGCCAGTTTTCAATTCAATCAATCAGAGAAACTCTCAATTCATTTTATTGTTGACAAAAGCATTTTAGAGAATCGTACAATTTTTTTCAAGTTGCAAAAAGAAAGTTCCAAAGTACAGAACTCCTTCAAAGTACGCCCTCACATTCTCATTTGCCCATAATTCTGACTTACCAATTTTTTCAGATACTTAATCGATGATGATGTCTTATGTCGATGATGATTCTATTCTAAATGCGTTGATGATGTTCTATGTCTTAATCTAAAATATTGAAATCTAAGTTTGGAAAGCGACCGCTAAAACACTAGAAACATTCTTTTGTGCCTTTTGATTTAGGAATTTTGTTGTTATGGGCTATCCTAACTACATCAGGAACCAAGACAACGTCCTCCCCTCCCCCAAAGCCGCAGCAACCGTAACCTGGGACATTTTAGTTTCATTCCAATGAATCACATTTTGGGTGCTGGAATATAAACAAAATGGATCTACTTAAAAATCCCCCCTATGGTACCTACTTAAGAATCCCCATCCCTATGAATAAATACAGTACATTAGCACTGATATTTCTATTGAGAATTCTAATTTTGCTGCATTCTGATTGGTCGAAAATTCGACCATTTTGATCTACTTAACAATCTCCCCCCTTTCTTGAAAGGGGTGGAGATTGTTTAGAAGATCCAAACAAAACATTGTTTTAAAACTCGAATAGCTAAAGTGATCCCCTTTCTGGAGCAGCTTTTAGCTTTAAGGTTCCGATTCACGACTGAAAGCGATTGACTATGATACCATCATGTACCCCCACTACAAGCTTTCTTTGAGGTCTCACGAAATTGCACAAAACACATCCTAAGCTATAGTTTCGTTTCCCCTCACGCTTCTAGAGTGGACGGAGCAAAAAAAAAACAAAAAACCGCAGCATAAATATTCTGTTACTTCATTTGAAAATATTTTGGAACAATAAAAATTGGTTTGTTTTTAAATCACTAGTCATTACTGTTGCATTTCTTGGACAATGTGAATATAAATATGAGCTCAGCATTTAATCTTTCGGTCTATTTTCCGCCCCATGCCTGGTCTCAAATCAGTTTGCCCAATACAGAAATCAAACTGAGTGTTTATTTTGGCTAGCTTAACTGACAGCTTCGATGACCAACGGACAACGCCACGTTCCAATTTAGCGACTTATTTTGGACCATAATCGATGGTTTGTCTCGCGTGGTTGCTTTTAACTCTCTAGTTTTTGTAATTATTTTAACACGGTTGTAAATTTTACAATAGTATTCTTAGCGCATCTCGGAACAGTTTGGCGTGGTGAGTAGAAAAGCAAAGTCGTGTATGTTTGTCGCGCGCTGTCGTCTCGTGCGCCGTTTGCGAAGCTGTGCATTCTTTGTATTTAGTCGGAAACCAACAGAGAAACAAACTTGTGTAATCGTTTATAATCTATAATCAAACTAACACGCATCGCAAAAATCAATCACAAAAATTAATTGACAGCTTCACTCAGAATGACTAACAGGTGATCATATGAAAAAATGCTCAAACCGCAATTTGACTGCAAATTAAAAAGAAACCAAAAACAGACAAATTACTCAAAAGTATAACTGTAGATTTCGTGAATTTTTTTGGAGACATTACTCTCTCATAATAGCATTTATAGCTCTTTAAATGTTTCCCTCTTTGATACCTAGAAACGAACTGCCACCCCATATAAAGAACTAATTCAACGGTTAAGCATGTGAAAACTTTGTACCTAGTACGAATCTCCAACCCTCTTTTGCAAAAGGGGGGATATAGTTAAGGAGATCCCATTCAAATCCCAAAAGAAAGTATATTCATTTTTTGCTCGATGAAGAATCCAAGACCAGCTCAGTTCAATTAAGCAATAAAAGGTTTTGATATATTTGTTGATGTGAACAACTATGTTTGATATCTGATGATAGATGGGCCAATATTTCATTCGAGAAATCGAGAAAAGGCAACGCAAGTAGCTTTCAAAATGATCACTTGATGATTAATACGGAAACAATTGAGATTTTGACATTTGTACCCGTTTTTCTTTGTCATTTATGTGTTTAGTACTGTAACTCTAAACAGCAACATGCGATGCTTCAAGTTTGAAGTAAGTTTACAGCGCCGCTCGAGTTGGTTTAATTTGGCAGTTTAATTTGGAAGTCACGCGATGTTGAGCTGCCAAAATCACCATCCGCTCTTCGATTTTCACCCCGTGAATTCCGCACAGAAACAACTTGAACTACATAGCAGGACATCAATGAAAAAACACACAAACACGTTTGGAATCTATTTGTTATTATTATCAAAACTGGTTATAAATACAAACAGTAGCTGTGCAAGTAGCACAGAACGTTACGACCGCAATGGTTCCAGCAAAAAAAAACTTCAAACGAAAAGAAAATAAAATATCGGAAAAATATCAAAAATTCGTTTACTTTTTGGTAAAGGCCAACTGCGTTAGATCAAAAACTGCATGAATGGAAAGCAGTACTTTGCTAAAACCTTTAAAACTGTACTAGTAAAAAAAATTGTCAGCCTCTTAACAATGTTTGTTAATTGATTCAAAAAGCAGAAAATTTTCTCGACACAGACCATGGTTTATTTAATTGATAGGCCACTCAACGCCATCTGCTTTCCTATGTGACAATTAATTTTGCATGCAAAAAAGACATTCCTAGACCAGAGATCCATCTGGTTCCATGAGAGGTCCAAACAAAAGTGTTTTTTTTTTTAATTCCGGCTCTATTAAGTGTTAAGTAGTCTTAATTTGAAGGGTGTTGATATTTTTTTCTGGTTGCTATTTTCCATGCTGTCAGATCAATAAAAACCATTTGATTTGATTTGCAGTGAGGACTATAGCTTCGTTTGAGTCCTCCTGAGCAAGAAGGAAACCTTAAGGGTTGGGATGTGGGACTGATGCTCTGCCCAAAAAGTCCCATTTGGCTAAAAAGTCCTGAGTAATCAAACCATATGAACCCCAGGAAGCTATTGCGTGTAAAAGAAATAAGTGACTCTCGATGTTTCTTTAATTTGGCTAATCAATCTTGAGAAAATATTAAGCTTAGGAGTTTTCCTTTTAACTTTTTAGAACTAAAAATCAGCCTTAAAAGTTTTGAATCAGCCGAGTGAGCAACGTGCAAGGGGAGCGGTGGTGAAGTGATTAGGTCTCCACCTCTCAATCGAGAGGTCGGATGTTCGAGGCCCACCATGATCCGTGCTCGTTTGCTTGAGGGTGAGGCAAAATTATCAAGCCCAGAAAAAAAACCGAAAATGTGAAAAGCAATACAGGGGCGCAACAGCGTTTCTCGGGTAATCAGATGAAGAGTTGTATGTTGGTCCTTTCCATTGAGGATGAATGGCCCTAAATTTGAGCAGATCGTTCATGCTGTGGAATCAAGTGTCATAATTGGTATGGACTTCTCTGCATTGAAGTTTTGGACACTTTCGATGCTGATGGACGTATCGTTCAACGAAAAAAAAAAGATTGCGTGAACAGCTTCATTTTGTAAGCTTACAGTAATTAATCCAAATGTGTCATTTAATTTAAGAAACGTGTTAAAAATTCGGGTATTTCTCATTTGATGGAAAAAGGCGGGTATGATAGCTCTTCTCCTTTTTAGAACTGAAATGGGTAATTTTTGCTATTATGAAAAATGGATCTAAACGTTCAAATCAGACATTTTGGTTGTTTTGGGCCGTATAACAGAAACAACCCGCTTAAATTTCCGAATTCGACAAAAAAATTTCTTCAGAATTATTCTGGTAATCTCCGAAAATCCTGGCTTGGGCTTATAATTTTGCTCTGATTCAAAAATAATTAGCAATTTGCTGTTTTTCAAAAAATAAATTCCTGAATGTGTGAAAAAATGTCCACATGTCGCGACAAGTTGCGTAATCACTAATCGGTTTGCATAACTTGTTATATAATTTCGACCCCCAATCAAGGCCGCCTACTATGTTAATTATTTTGTCAATCGTTGTTTGTGGCTCTTTTTAGCAGGTATTTTGTTTCTATTACACAATTCAATTCACTCTGAGGCCTAATTCAAATCATTCTCTAATTTGTTGATGCAGCTTGGCCAATAAAATTGCAGAGCTGAATTTTGAGTCTTTTTCTGCTTGACAAGTTAACAACGCTTGAAAACAGCTCTTTAAAAATTAAAGACTTAAAAAATTCATAACCACTTTTGTTTGGCTAATGCTACCGTTAAGTTGACCAACCAAGTTCAATTTACTTAGCTAATAATCCGGATAGAAAACAAAAAATTGACAATCTTTCTTTGGAAAAGAAACTATTCACAAAATTATCCAAACGACAATGTTTACTTTCAACAGCTACCCTTTGTTTGCTTCTGGACCTCAATCAAATCCGACCTCAATTTCGAACCAGATGAAACCCAACTTTCATCTTGGAACCCAACATAAACCATCAGTTTCCAGTGCCCAAATTACACCCCCGGGCGGCAACCAAAAAGCACCTGGACATTCTATGGATCCATTTACAATGCATGGACTTATGAAGAGTGTTCAAAGTTCACCTCCAAATTTGACCAACAATACCCAATTTATGAACCAGACCCAACAATTCTTAGCCCATTCTATGACTCCTAACAGACTAGGTAGCTCTCTCGCATCCGCCGTGTTGCTCCGTTCTATAACTCAAGCAAGTCAAGCTGCAGTGGCGAACAATCCAGAACATTCTAGACTTTTCCCACTATTTATGACGCATCCTGGTCAGACCAGTCCTCAATTTAACGACTTCAGTCAGTCAGCTGCAAACTCAATGGGCGGATTCTTGAACCCCTATTCGCTTTTGCAAGAGGAGCCGAAACCGAACCACAGTTACATTGGACTCATAGCAATGGCTATTTTGAGTTCGACAGAGAAAAAGTTAGTTTTAAGCGACATTTATCAGTATATTCTGGACAACTACCCTTATTTTCGATCCAGAGGTCCTGGTTGGAGAAACAGTATCCGACATAACCTCTCTTTAAATGACTGTTTCATCAAAGCAGGCCGAAGTGCGAACGGAAAAGGACACTTTTGGGCTATTCATCCAGCTTGCCAGGACGACTTCGCCAAAGGAGATTTCCGACGAAGACACGCGCAGAGGAAAGTCCGAAAGGCAATGGGACTCGCAGTTGCCGACGATGAGTCGGACGGGAACCGAAGTCCGTCGCCGGTCGCTGCTTCCGGAGGTCAGTTCAGTCCGATTAAATTTCAATTCCAGTCTCCTAAAACCGGACAAGAAAATAAAAAATGTGACGACAGTTTGAGAAACCCGACAATAAAAGCGCAAAAAAGAGAACACAACGAGGACGAAAACGAAAGCTTAAACTCAAGTATTAGCTCGGATTTCTCGCCGATGAAAATAAAAGCCGAAACCAGCGAGAACGAGATCGAAAACCTTAAATTCACCCCTCCAGTTAAGAAACGACAGAAAAGAAGTTTCAACATTGAGAGTTTGCTTTCACACGACTCCGACACAGAGCAAAAAACGGACGACGAACACCAAAATGAAAGAATGTAGTTTTGATCACGACTCAGTTTTTTTCAAAAAAACTTCGAAAATGCGATATTTTGAAACTCAATTTGACTGGATTTTGTGGTCCTAGTTTGTAGAACTTTTGTATTCTTTTTGCTAATCTTGAGCCCACAAAGCGAAATGTGTTGCGTTGTAGTTTGACTTGGCTTCTTGTTTGATCAATTGATTTTTATTGACATTTTATTGTATATTTTCATGAAAAGATTATATATTGGACGCACTTATTTTTGATAGAATTTATGTAGAAATAGTTTAAATGTTCTAATTTTAATTTTTTTGTACAAGCATTGTTTTGAATCAGATTACAAATAAGGGTCAGAATGAAAAATTAGCCAAGTGTTGGTAATTATTGAACACAGCTTAAGCAAACAAACAGTAATGAACCGACAGACTCACAAGAGGATTAATTGAGGGGAAGAAGTATCAGAAAAATGGAAACCCAAAATGCAACAAACTACCAAAGAAAAACCACTAAGAAAAATTGCTTGGACGAAAAAGTCAGGGTTCCCATAGACCAAGTTAAACATAGTTTTGTGAACCAAAGTACTGCCCAGAATTACAACCGGGCCATCACAGTACAACGCTCTGCAGGGGAAAATCAGCGCTAAACAAAAACTAAACAGGAGTAGCCAGTTGCTCTGCTTATAACACGAAGTTCGACCAATTTTCATAAGAAAACACGTAATTTCTTCAAATCGTGCGTCGAGAGGAAAACTTAGAACGTACCTAGAAACTACTCTAGTTCGCTTCAATACACACCACTTGCGAATAAAGCACCAAAAATCAAATTACCATGTTTCTCAAACGAAGAGTAATCAACTCGAATGAATTTTGCTGAAGAAATTGTAGGCTGAAAAATCAAATATGTTATTGCTATTGTTATAGAAGTCAATTACCTGAAACAAAAAATGATTTGGGCGCTACTTCTTTCTGACAACCAATAGATGAAAGTGGTAACTAAGTGTACTCAAAAACTGTTCATCAAATCTTGCAACCAAAAAACCTGCATAACCAGCAGGAACTATCGGGGATAAAAACGGCATTATCAGCTGTTTGCTGAAGCATAAGATCGAAATGAAAGAAAACAATTGAAAAACAAAATACAAAGAAAATTGAAACAATAATTACAAAATTGCCACAAAAAAAGTTGCAGAAAATCTGAAAAAAAAAATCTTCAGAGCGAATGAAAAACATAGCCAACAGAGTTCAGAAAGAGTCAAAAATACCAATTTGTTTTTGATATAATCTTAATTTTCAAAATTCAAAGAAAACATAAGATGAACTTAAACAATTTTAATTTTCTAGGGCAATTAATGACAAACAATTTTTTTAATCTGAGAAAACTCGATCAATAAGTAAAAATTTACTGATAAAGGAAATCTGAATGGTGAATTCCATTTTCGAAATTAGGAATCAATCACGTTTTTTGTTGGTTGTACAATTTTGCTGTTCGGTAGTGGAGTTTTTCTTCCATTTAACAAAAGAAATGAGCTGAAGTTGAAATGAAATTAAATTTCAAGCCGCGAAAAGTAAACTTGAGCCTGAACAAGTGTAAAGAGTTTTCCTGAAAAAAAAAGCAAAATAATAAGACCTATATAATTGTCGAAAATTTCAAAAACTTCAGCCTTAAACAGCCACACTTCTGAATCTCGAGCGAAATCTACCGCTGCGTCCTTTTTATTCAACACAAACGAGTCAAATTGGTATAGAAGAATTCTGGAAATTTATGTTTTTAAATTATTTTTGAAACTTTGAAACAAAACAGTTAATCATCAACTTGAATCGATTTTAAATAAAACTGCTTAAACTTAAAACACATCAAACTAACAAACACTACAAATGATTTGACCGAATTTTAGAAAAAAAATTACTAACCTTGCATCCGAAAAAAGTTGAAAATTTGATGCAAAAAAGTTTCGATTAGAAAATTTTGAAGAAGTTTATTTCAAACAGAGTTTTGTAGCGCCAATAAAGACCAGAAAATCATGAACAACATAACAATGTGAGATGAGAATGAAGCATAAATGAAGTCGAACAATCTGCCAAACTTTCAGTTTCATTTTGTTGTTTTTTTTTTCTAAGACAACATCAGTTAGCTGAATCTATCACTAATTTTCTATAGCTAAAAAGTTTGGCAATTCTTGTATCTCGCAAAAACGACGGGAATTGTAAAAAATGCTTTTCAACAAACAACTGTTGTCGGAACCTTCTGCGCTATTTGCACATCAACCGGTAGTTTTTCTTTCCAATTTCAAATCAAACTCAAAACAAAAAAAAATATTTCAAAATAGCAATATGGTTGGTATCAGCAGATATCCTGCCATATCTGATCGTTCAGATTTTACGCTTCAATCCGAATTTTATGCTTCATGTTTAGCATTTCTGAAGTTTTCATTGGACATATTTAAAATTGCTAGAAGTTTTATGATGTTTCGCTAGTCGATAGCCAATGAACAATAATCTTGACAACGCGTTCGTATATCTTGCCAAGTTCTGGCAAAATTCTTGGAAAGCTCCGCAAGAGAACCATTATTCAAGATAAACAAAACTTATGAAGATTATAGAAATAACTTTTTCAAATTGAAGTTACGAATGTATGAGAACTAAATGTTTTATGGGGATACGCAAATAGCAGCCGAAGTAATAATCTCTTTGTGATTCATACAGCCATCTACAGTCCAAAACTTCCAGTATGATTTTTGATTGAATCAATTTGACGTTTAAGATCATGACGAGGCAATCATTGCCTTGGAAGAATCATGCGAGGATCTTGCTATTTAAACAAACGCTGCCAAGTTTATTGCAGGATAAACACAATCTTTCAAGATTTTGCAAGATGAACATAATTTGCAAGAACATTGTAAGATCTGGCTAGATAAACACTGACCATTGACTAGGGTTAAATAAGCTTTGCTTTACCCATGCTTCATAAAGCTTTCAAGGTTTTATTATGTCAAAATAAGCATCAAATATCCAATCTTGGAAATTTGGCTAACAGTTATATTCCTCAACTGAAAACTGAATGATTGTTTTTTTTCATCCTAGAAATGTCTGGAGTTGTCGCCAGTTGTTCGTGATAGTCCGTCCATACATGGGTCACGAAACTTAAACGCTTTTTAAACGCATAACACCTTTTCCACGATTCTGGTTTTTAACAAAAATATTTTTTGCAATTTCAGTTCACTTTTTATGGCAGATGAAATTTTTAATATTTATGTTCTAGTATTTCCCACACTATTTCAATCTTGACTGGGTTGTTTTCAAACGAACAACAGGGATCTAGATCCGGACTTCTTTTGTTGCAGTCTGTACTCTCTTCCTCTTATCTGGTTGCCACTTTGTCCAAAGTCAACGCCAACAGGCAAGAGTCTCTTAAAAGGTGGAAATTACTTATGTTGTGCCCTGCTTAGATAACATTTAAACAACAATTACAAGCCCCCTCCTATTCCCACAAATTCCTTTTACTATTCCAAAAAGAACAATTGCTATCGTTAATTGTGACATGGACAATTTAAATTAGCAGTCTTGTTATTATTTCCCAATTTTTCAATAAGTGTTTTATCTATTTTATATTCTTCACAATTTTATCTTGCCAGTCAAGTTTGCAAATTGAATCTTGGAATAGGATAGCTGTCACAAAGTTTTGAATTTTAATCGTTCCTCTGACAATGATTTTTAATCAGAGATGTCAAAATAGTGAAAACATAAATCAAACTCTATACATATAATTACTTTTTTCTCTAGAAATTTGTATATTTTTTCATCTCCTGAAAACTGACCAAGCATAATGAAGATATTTTGGGCTTAATTTCCGTGCAAGTCGCAGCAATATTTTCTGCCCGATTATTTTCCGTGTTTTGATCGGGAAAGTAAAACTTTTTGTCCGGTGTATTTTTTGTATCCTCGCTACTTGTCGAATCGATTACAAAATAATCTCAGAAATCTTCTCGAAAAACCGCCTCAATTTCCGGAGCGTGGTGAAAACAATACTATTTTTTCACACACGATTAATTCATGTAATTTCCAGTTTTTAGCTCAGTTCTTTCAAAAAAGGGAAATTGGAAAATGTTTTTGTTTTTGTCGATGAAATTGCTGATTATAATTTAAAAAGATTCATTGACGTATAAAATAATTTGCCTGTCGTTGTTTGTAAAAACTTGTTGTTTGACAAATGTAATGCGAATAAAGGTTTCATTTACTTCTCATTTTTCTCAATGGCAAATTATTTCTAAGACAGTCATGCAGCAGCTAACTTAACACATCAGACATCAATCATAGACTTCCAACATTCCTTCCGAATCTTCCTTTTCACGTGATATTTTTGGGTTGTTTAATATATCTACTTTTGGCTGAAAACCCATTTTTTATCATCTTTACTTTTTGGCAATAACAAGAGTAGCTAAGTTTCTCTACAAGTAGCACGGAAAATATCGCTAGAAGTCATTGCCTGTTGTTAACGAGTCTTGTTTTTCAATTTCATTTGCAATTTTTTTTGGTATACTTTTGTTATATTAAGTCCTTATGCTATAATTGTTTCAACCCAAAAGAGCCCTTTGAGTAGTGATGTAGTGAAATATTCAAACAAATTTATAGGCTTAGGTTATATAGATAGCTGAGAATCTTGGATTTTGTGACAGGAACTTCAAAAAAATAGGACAATCCCGGATTTCCTGGTAGTAACTATCCAGAAACCCTGCCGGCAGTCTATGATTTATTTTTGAAAAAAAAATTTAAAAAAAAGAATTTTTAATCTCTGCTTCTCATAATTGCCTATAGACGGACAAATGTTTACTATGAAATGTTTACTATGAAATAAAGTACCTTTAAAACCACGCGTGGGCATCTATATTTGCAGTAAATCTTGGGCTTTTTTGTTCTTTTCTTGTTCTCTTTTGCGTGCAAAAGTAAGTTTTTTTTGTCTATGACGTAGTTCCACTAATTTTTTTCAAAAAAAAACTAAAAACCTCAATGATTGTTTTGTGTGAAGCCACACGGAGCATTTACTCAAATTTCAAATGATATGGAAAACGTAAACGTGTTCAAAACCCGCTCCCAATTTTTAGACACTTAATTTTCTCGGTAAAGTTTTTTGCCTTGTAAAATTTTCAAGCTAAATCAATCGAGATGATGATAATCTCCAGATGCAAATTATCTATGAGATTCTTGCGAATTAACATGTGGTTTTTTCATAAATTTTTTAGTTTTTTGGTTTCAG